TGAATTCGTTCAAGTATTTAATGATTGAATTTCTCTCCAAATTGAGTTGTTGACACATGGAATGAGTGGGTGTGCAATTACTTCACGGAAAACTTTCTAACTTTTCTTACTCTTATCTCTCTAGATCTATATTGTGTGTGATTGTGCGTATATATAATACCTGATTAGAGATTATGTGGAGGTGTATTCTTTGGGTGCTACACTTGATTCCTTTTTATTGCCCATCAAACCAATGTTAATAAAATTTAGCATCTTGTACACAAAAGAACAAATGGTCTGAAGCTGACTTCTCTGTTTACTACCCCCAATTCTTTGACAACGTTGGGATGAGTGGGCTATCCTTTATTTCTTAGTAAAATTGTGCTTCCTATAAAAAAAAAACAAAAAAAAGGGTGAAAGAGTGATGTTTTAAAAAGAAAATATATAGAACATTCAGGCAATGTATCAAACAAAGAACGTTGGTTTTTGTAGTTGGACTCTCTCTCTCTCTCTCTCTCTCTGATTCAATATTGGAGTCGAGACTAAAATCTTAGACTATGGTAGTAAATTAGTCTGAACAAAAATATATTAACAAATAAGTAAATAAGAGTTTAAACTGGTGAAGCAATATTTGTGTCCCGTGTTATTCTTTATCTGACCATTCTCAGACTGTAGGACCTTTTAAATAGCTTATGAAATAATATTCAATTGGCTAGATGATAATTTCAGCCAGCACTAGAAGATACAATATTTTTGTTGCCCATTGTTATGCTGATGGTGGGCCTTGAAATATTGAAATGCTTGTAGGATTAGGGCCTAGAATTAGATGATTAGGAAGGAATATTGAAGACTCTATACACGAAAATGTTGGTATGAGCTTGAATACAAAGAAATAGCACTCCTTGAATTTTAAATACACGGTTTCTTAAAATACTGCACCACAGCTACATATGTAGACATTGGGGTATATTTTCTTAGTAGATTAACAGTAGTGTATTATACTCATAGTGGGTGCGATCATACCAACACTAATGAACTGGATCCTATCAAAACTCCGCAGTTAAGCGTGTTTGGACGAGAGTAGTACTAGGATGGGTGACTCACTGGGAAGTCCTCGTGTTGCACCCCTTTGAAAAGAAAAAAAAAAGTATTATACTCATAGTAGGATTTAAGTTAGGATGCAAGATTTTTTTGACATGTGATTTGGAATATTGACAAAGCTTATTGTTTCATAAGTACGAATATTTGGAAGGAAAATAAAGAAATTTTTTTAAAATATCAATACTTGTATTAATTTTTTGAGGCTATGGATTCATGATTTTTTTTTTTTTTGTGGAAGGAAACTTAGAGTTAAATTTTGATTAATCGCAATTATGAATATCTGGAAGCAAGTTTTTCCCTGTTAAATTAAGTCAGGTGAATTCATATTAAACGATTGGACCTTAGTTTCCACCAACTTTTAGAAACTTAAAAAGACTGAAATTTCAGTGACAGGCAAGTTTTCCTGCAGGTTTTATGGGCGAAAAGTGCTTGACAGTGGGCTGTTTTAGAACTTAGAAGTGTTTGGCTGTTGGAAATTTTCGGGAAGTCTTGTTGGAAATTCTCGGTATCAACTCCTTTAATGGTAAGAGGGAATATGTGTGGATTATGGCAAAGGAATGAAAATGAAATATTTTTGGGGCCTTTTGGAACTCATGATGGGTACTAATGAATAGTGAGAAAGCTGATTTTGGTGGTTTATGGGGTCCCTCTTGGAATATAGACCCAATGGATGAAGGCAAAGCATGCTCCAACTATCACATGAAACAATTGATTGCTAAATGGTCTTAGCCATTAATCTATATCTATACTACTATAAAATTTACCTAAAATATACTTATATTTTGTGAATATGTGTCCAAGTTTTTTTTTTTGAAGTTGAATATTTTTTTTTTGTCCTTTGTATGACTCTTAACTAGCCTAACAAAACTAGCAGTGTATATGCTATGTTAGATCAAAACTTGATCCACTGATCTTGCATGCTTTGAACAGAACAACAATAATTGCAACTATAATATTTTTATTCATACTAGATATGTTGTTTTTAGTTTATTTGGACCACATATATTTTCACTCTATCTTTTTACCATCTAACAAGTGTAGTACATGCTTTTGGGGACCTTACTGCATATTGATTGCTGGTGAGTTGTATACTTGTATTCTCCGGTATAGAACAACTGATTTCTTCTGCACGTATTTGGCTTGCTTCACATGCAGATTCTTAATTTTTAGCTGTTTAGTGCTGCCTAAACACTCTTATATTCAAAACATGAACCCAAGATAGTGTACAATGACAACAGGATTTAGAAGCCAATTGCAGATAATGGACACAAATGCATTCTTGAGTTGAATAGAGATGAAATTGGTTTATTAGTCAGTACTTGGTATATATATTATGTATCAGGTAATCTATGTGAATTTGGCTGAGGACATAACCGTTTGATTCTTGTGCTCATTGTGTGAGTTCTGCTCAATTGATGAAGCTGATGACAAACTTCTTAGCTTTTGTAATTGTATTGTGTTGGTTATGCAGGCCATTCCTTCTATGCTTCTGGCATTAGTTCTCTCTTTTGATCACAGAAGGAGCAAGGATTCTTTGAATTATTGGATATTCCTTCTTCTAACGGGTACAAATACATTTGGTATGCTCCTTCTGGATATGCAATTGGACTGGTAACTGCTTTAGGAGCTGGCATTTTGACACTCACGCCTCAACCAACACTTTTATATCTGGTATGATGAAATTAAATTGTAATATTGTTATCTCCAGTATGAATCTGCATTAATTCTTACTCGTCATTTCAGTCCAGATCTATCTTCATTTCGTGTGCATAGTCTTGTGAGAGTGAGAAAGAGTGTTTTTTTCAGAAAGAAAAAAAAGGAGTTATTGACTTCTGATTCTGCCATTTAAAAATAAAATTCTCGAGACTTGTTGCTTCCACATTTTTGGAATTTTAGGTGGAATTAAAAATCGTTGCATAGATCTCTTCTAATTCATCTATGTACTCGTTAGGAAAATGGGGGCATGCTTGGGAACCTGAGAAATCGGGTCATTGATTTTGAAGCATGCTATAAATGTGAAAGGCATTTCTTTGATTTGAATGTAATCATTTTCTTTTACTTAATTCTTGTCATTATTTTTGTTTAGGTCTAGCACCATTCCACCATCTTTGCCCCTGATTTTTCTGTTCATTATCCATTGAATATAGGTACCCTCTACTTTGGGACCTGCAATCGTCATATCTTGGATGAGAAAGGAGCTGACAAAGCTGTGGGAAGGAACAACACCAAACATAAATGAGAAGGCTAATTTGACAGAGGTTTGAGCTAGTGGTGTTCATGCCCCTGCACCACATCAGCCCTTCCAGTGCCAAATAGAAATAGATCACATAATTCAGCTGGGTGATTCTAACCTTTGTTGATTATCGTTAATCATAATTACTATTTGTTTAAGGTTGGCATGGCTACAAAATGTTTTGGTTTGAAAAAGTTCCAATCACAATTATCATACATAAAATGCAAGCCTATTGTTTTATTTTGGACCAGTGCATTTGCATCTTTTGTCCTTTCATTGAATTAAAATGATCAGAATCTCAGGTTTTGCATTTTATTTTTTGTAAGGGAAGTATTTAAACTGATAGTAGAATCAAATATATTTAGTGAATTAATCAAAGCAATTGATAATCTATTAATCAGTGCCCCAAGTGTCATTAGGTATGACTGCAAGTGGACAAACTATTTTTTAATGCATAATTTATGAGGGATTTATTAACTCCACAAAACAACCAACCAACCAATTCTCAAACTAGAATCCAAGCTCATAGGACAGTTAATGCATTAGAGAATCACAGGACAGTTAATGCATCTACCTAAACAAATTCTCAACCTAGAATCCAAGCTGCTTTGTTTTTCAAAGCGAACTATCTGAAGTAAATATTTATATTCTACTTTGATAATGTTAGTTCACAAAGCCAACAATTGTTTCCTTTGCAGTGTTGATTTTCAATTCCTTAAATATTATAATTTTGTGTATGGATGGCAATGAAAAATTGAGTTTTTTGTTGTATGCACCAATGTAAACGTTGGCTTAGTTTTGACAGACAAAGCATATCAAAGCTTTGTTTTTTAAATCAATCAATTGTGCAATCATTCACGCGCAATGTTATGCAAATCAAATTATTTTTTAATGCTATGCTATGCTTTGTTTTTTGTTGCTCGTGACCCGTGAAGTACCAGTCTCACAACAGTATTGGGGCAAAAGGATCGGTCCTTCACTTGTTGATCGTTCGCGAGTCGAATTCTCTCTCTTGTCACGCCTTTCACTCACTCGCTTGAGTCGGACTCTATCACTCTTTTTGTTTGGAGGATCATTCGATTCAAGATTTATTAAATAAATTTGGACATTACAGTTTTATCCATCGTTCACTTATTCTCGAGTTATTCAAGCTTTATTTTGTCGCCTCCCTCCCCATCTCAAAGCAATGCTCTAACCTTTCTTATATTTTTATATTCACTTATTAGTTTATTGTAGTAACAAGACTCTAATTTTCCACTGATGGCCCAATAAAGTCATAAAAATAGACAAAGATAACTTAATGTAGAATCAAAAATTATAAATCAAAATTGTTCACATGTAACGCACNACAAAGAAATAGCACTCCTTGAATTTTAAATACACGGTTTCTTAAAATACTGCACCAAAGCTACATATGTAGACATTGGGGTATATTTTTTTAGTAGATTAACAGTAGTGTATTATACTCATAGTGGGTGCGATCATACCAACACTAATGAACTGGATCCTATCAGAACTCCGCAGTTAAGCGTGTTTGGACGAGAGTGGTACTAGGATGGGTGACTCACTGGGAAGTCTTCGTGTTGCACCCCTTTGAAAAGAAAAAAAAAAGTATTATACTCATAGTAGGATTTAAGTTAGGATGCAAGATTCTTTTGACATGTGATTTGGAATATTGACAAAGCTTATTGTTTCATAAGTACGAATATTTGGAAGGAAAATAAAGAATTTTTTTTAAAATATCAATACTTGTATTAATTTTTTGAGGCTATGGATTCATGATTTTTTTTTTTTTTGTGGAAGGAAACTTAGAGTTAAATTTTGATTAATCGCAATTATGAATATCTGGAAGCAAGTTTTTCCCTGTTAAATTAAGTCAGGTGAATTCATATTAAACGATTGGACCTTAGTTTCCACCAACTTTTAGAAACTTAAAAAGACTGAAATTTCAGTGACAGGCAAGTTTTCCTGCAGGTTTTATGGGCGAAAAGTGCTTGACAGTGGGCTGTTTTAGAACTTAGAAGTGTTTGGCTGTTGGAAATTTTCGGGAAGTCTTGTTGGAAATTCTCGGTATCAACTCCTTTAATGGTAAGAGGGAATATGTGTGGATTATGGCAAAGGAATGAAAATGAAATATTTTTGGGGCCTTTTGGAACTCATGATGGGTACTAATGAATAGTGAGAAAGCTGATTTTGGTGGTTTATGGGGTCCCTCTTGGAATATAGACCCAATGGATGAAGGCAAAGCATGCTCCAACTATCACATGAAACAATTGATTGCTAAATGGTCTTAGCCATTAATCTATATCTATACTACTATAAAATTTACCTAAAATATACTTATATTTTGTGAATATGTGTCCAAGTTTTTTTTTTGAAGTTGAATATTTTTTTTTTGTCCTTTGTATGACTCTTAACTAGCCTAACAAAACTAGCAGTGTATATGCTATGTTAGATCAAAACTTGATCCACTGATCTTGCATGCTTTGAACAGAACAACAATAATTGCAACTATAATATTTTTATTCATACTAGATATGTTGTTTTTAGTTTATTTGGACCACATATATTTTCACTCTATCTTTTTACCATCTAACAAGTGTAGTACATGCTTTTGGGGACCTTACTGCATATTGATTGCTGGTGAGTTGTATACTTGTATTCTCCGGTATAGAACAACTGATTTCTTCTGCACGTATTTGGCTTGCTTCACATGCAGATTCTTAATTTTTAGCTGTTTAGTGCTGCCTAAACACTCTTATATTCAAAACATGAACCCAAGATAGTGTACAATGACAACAGGATTTAGAAGCCAATTGCAGATAATGGACACAAATGCATTCTTGAGTTGAATAGAGATGAAATTGGTTTATTAGTCAGTACTTGGTATATATATTATGTATCAGGTAATCTATGTGAATTTGGCTGAGGACATAACCGTTTGATTCTTGTGCTCATTGTGTGAGTTCTGCTCAATTGATGAAGCTGATGACAAACTTCTTAGCTTTTGTAATTGTATTGTGTTGGTTATGCAGGCCATTCCTTCTATGCTTCTGGCATTAGTTCTCTCTTTTGATCACAGAAGGAGCAAGGATTCTTTGAATTATTGGATATTCCTTCTTCTAACGGGTACAAATACATTTGGTATGCTCCTTCTGGATATGCAATTGGACTGGTAACTGCTTTAGGAGCTGGCATTTTGACACTCACGCCTCAACCAACACTTTTATATCTGGTATGATGAAATTAAATTGTAATATTGTTATCTCCAGTATGAATCTGCATTAATTCTTACTCGTCATTTCAGTCCAGATCTATCTTCATTTCGTGTGCATAGTCTTGTGAGAGTGAGAAAGAGTGTTTTTTTCAGAAAGAAAAAAAAGGAGTTATTGACTTCTGATTCTGCCATTTAAAAATAAAATTCTCGAGACTTGTTGCTTCCACATTTTTGGAATTTTAGGTGGAATTAAAAATCGTTGCATAGATCTCTTCTAATTCATCTATGTACTCGTTAGGAAAATGGGGGCATGCTTGGGAACCTGAGAAATCGGGTCATTGATTTTGAAGCATGCTATAAATGTGAAAGGCGTTTCTTTGATTTGAATGTAATCATTTTCTTTTACTTAATTCTTGTCATTATTTTTGTTTAGGTCTAGCACCATTCCACCATCTTTGCCCCTGATTTTTCTGTTCATTATCCATTGAATATAGGTACCCTCTACTTTGGGACCTGCAATCGTCATATCTTGGATGAGAAAGGAGCTGACAAAGCTGTGGGAAGGAACAACACCAAACATAAATGAGAAGGCTAATTTGACAGAGGTTTGAGCTAGTGGTGTTCATGCCCCTGCACCACATCAGCCCTTCCAGTGCCAAATAGAAATAGATCACATAATTCAGCTGGGTGATTCTAACCTTTGTTGATTATCGTTAATCATAATTACTATTTGTTTAAGGTTGGCATGGCTACAAAATGTTTTGGTTTGAAAAAGTTCCAATCACAATTATCATACATAAAATGCAAGCCTATTGTTTTATTTTGGACCAGTGCATTTGCATCTTTTGTCCTTTCATTGAATTAAAATGATCAGAATCTCAGGTTTTGCATTTTATTTTTTGTAAGGGAAGTATTTAAACTGATAGTAGAATCAAATATATTTAGTGAATTAATCAAAGCAATTGATAATCTATTAATCAGTGCCCCAAGTGTCATTAGGTATGACTGCAAGTGGACAAACTATTTTTTAATGCATAATTTATGAGGGATTTATTAACTCCACAAAACAACCAACCAACCAATTCTCAAACTAGAATCCAAGCTCATAGGACAGTTAATGCATTAGAGAATCACAGGACAGTTAATGCATCTACCTAAACAAATTCTCAACCTAGAATCCAAGCTCCTTTGTTTTTCAAAGCGAACTATCTGAAGTAAATATTTATATTCTACTTTGATAATGTTAGTTCATAAAGCCAACAATTGTTTCCTTTGCAGTGTTGATTTTCAATTCCTTAAATATTATAATTTTGTGTATGGATGGCAATGAAAAATTGAGTTTTTTGTTGTATGCACCAATGTCAACGTTGGCTTAGTTTTGACAGACAAAGCATATCAAATCAATCAATTGTGTAATCATTCACGCGCAATGTTATGCAAATCAAATTATTTTTTAATGCTATGCTATGCTTTGTTTTTTGTTGCTCGTGACCCGTGAAGTACCAGTCTCACAACAGTATTGGGGCAAAAGGATCGGTCCTTCACTTGCTGATCGTTCGCGAATCGAACTCTCTCTCTTGTCACGCCTTTCACTCACTCGCTTGAGTCGGACTCCATCACTCTTTTTGTTTGGAGGATCATTCGATACAAGATTTATTAAATAAATTTGGACATTACAGTTTTATCCGTCATTCACTTATTCTTGAGTTATTCAAGCTTTATTTTGTCGCCTCCCTCCCCATCTCAAAGCAATGCTCTAACCTTTCTTATATTTTTGTATTCACTTATTAGTTTATTGTAGTAACAAGACTCTAATTTTCCACTTATGGCCCAATAAAGTCATAAAAATAGACAAAGATAACTTAATGTAGAATTAAAAATTATAAATCAAAATTGTTCACATGTAACGCATGTGTGCACCAACTAATAAGTATTAAACATGTACAATAAAACTCACCTAATTTTAATAATTACCGCATTTTTTGTAATCAAATAATTACCACACTTACGTGCGCGAGGTTTACCAACTCATGTGATGATTTATTATTTGATTAGGAATAACCTCGTATATGAATAAACTCTGTAATACTAAAAATTAAATATTGGTCGCACAACATTTTTATATTTTAAATAGTAATTTATTTATTTATTTTTTAATTTTGTTTTTTGTTTAAATTAAAGTAAATAGAGAGATAATAAGAAAGAAATAGATGTGAATTATTGGATGTTGTACGATCAACACCCCCCCTTCCCAAAAAAAAAAACACAGAAAAGTATTAGAAAGAGCTAGGGGGGTGTCGGTGTAATTTACCCAAACAGAAACTAAGAAACCCTTGTCCCTCCCGCCCCGCACGAGTTCGATCTTAATCCCCGAAAACCCCGACATCCACTGCTAAGTTTTAGGTACTTGTCCTTCTGTTGCTCGGCGAATTTTGAAAATGATGGTTAGAACAGTTCGGAATTTGAGTACTAAGAGTGATGGGGGCTTCTTGGCGAATTGGAGAAGATCTTTCTCTGTTTCTAGGCAACCTGTTATAGATATGGCCTCTAAAGATGGTGAATTGAGGGTTTTTATAGTTGCCGGTGAGGTTTCTGGAGACAATATCGGATCTCGCCTCATGGCTTCCCTGAAGAAGCTATCTCCGATGCCTATACGCTTCGCCGGTGTTGGAGGGTAACGTTATTTTCTTCCTATCAATTCTACTAAAGTACCCATCAATTCAACGCCTTTGTGCATAGAAGGTATGCTTTAAAAATGAAGGATATGCAAGTTTTTGACGAAAATGTGCACTTTTAAGTTTATCAGCAAGCTAATTTTTATGTGGGTACATTCCGAAAAAAGGAAAAAAAATTTATGTGGATAGTATTTTTTTTAGTTGAAGTGGGTAAATCATGAATCATTTTGTTCTCAATTAGCTTGAAGCCTTTTAGAACAACCGATTGTACATTATATTAGAGCTTTAAGGTCCATTCCTTTGTTGGAACAATGGTGTCATTTCATAAGGTAGTATACATAACCCGGTGGTAGCCCAATAGGGTCGTTTGTGAGAGGGAGTACTAAAATGAGCTTTGGAAATAGGCCAGTTAACAGTTTTTGGTTGTTGTTTCCTTAACATTCTTCTTATGATGTGTTTAATTTGACTAAAATTCTTGTTACTTTCGTTCTTTTGGTGTTGTTTCTGTCAATTGGTAGTCAACCCATCAATGTTTTGTCCCAACATTTCTGGGGACGGCTTGTTCTTGATGCCACTACCAGTTTCTTTTATTTTGATGAGATCCGACTAAGCCGAATGACTTAAGCCAAATCAGTTTCAAGAAAAAGCTAACCCAAGTGGTTATATCAAGCTAGTTGCTACATGGAGGCTCTATCTTGTTTAGCATGCCTTTTCTGAATACTATAAGCTCCTAAATTTTAATTTATTTATTTTTCACCACCGTTTCTTGGCTACCAAACTTAGCACATACTCCATGGAATGATGTTTTTATTTATAGTATTACATGTTCACTTGTTTTTGTTCAATCGTGGGGCTTTTGTAAAAATTTTGGGTTCAAATTTACTTACCAAGAAAGAGAGATAAAAAAAAGAATGGAGAAAAAGTTTTGATTAACAAATACTTTCTGCAATTTTTGTCATTTTATTTTTGTATTTCCCATTGGTAATGTTTCTTTCTGCGTATGTTCAGGTTGATGATGTCCAACCAAGGATTGAAATCTCTGTTCCCCATGGAGGATATTTCAGTAATGGGGATCTGGGAGTTGTTGCCGCATCTGAATAAGTTGAGAGTGAGCAGTTAGCAATGAAATGTGCCGTGCTCTTCCACCTATCAAGATCATTGTGATTATCCTCCCTATTCGTTACATTTTAGCCAAAATTTTATCTTTTACTTAAAGATATGGAGTATTTACGAATTAATGTGTCTGATCTGGACCTTGTTCTTGCATTGGCCNTACATTTTAGCCAAAATTTTATCTTTTACTTAAAGATATGGAGTATTTACGAATTAATGTGTCTGATCTAGACCTTGTTCTTGCATTGGCCCTTTCAATGACAGGTTAATTTGAAACAGACAATGGAGGCTGCACTTCTCTTTAAGCCTCATGTTATTGTGACAGTGGATTCCAAGGGTTTTTCATTCCGTTTCCTAAAGCAGTTAAGGGGTAATACATCACCTACTTCTTCTGAGATTCTATGATGCTCTGCACTTGTCCTAAAAATAGTATGTCTTAAGAAAATGGGGGAATGCTCTTTGCAGCTAGATATGATCAGCGAGCATTGGTTAGCCTTCCTCCACACTTCCATTATGTTGCACCATCATTCTGGGCCTGGAAAGGGGCTGAAAAAAGACTCAAAGCGCTATCTGAGTTCATAGACCATGTGTTCTGTATCCTTCCATTTGAGGAGGAAGTTTGCAAAGTGCATGGACTAGCTGCAACCTTTGTGGGTCACCCCATGCTGGAAGACGTTTGGGAGTTAGTCGGTACAGATATAGGTTCTAAACTTGTTTTTTTTTTCCCAACCTCACTATGTCGTCCTAATAGATTTCTAGTTTATAGTGGTGTTGGTGCTTTCAAATTGATGCTGCATCTAATTGTTGAAATCTCACCTCCTNGATAGTTCAGTTTATTATTTGCATGACAATACCTACAATAAAAATAAATAGCTATGCGTTTGCAATTAATAATCAACTCAATTCTTTTTGAAGTAAAAAGAAACTGAGGGATTTCACACTCAGGAAATGGACGCTACAGAAAATGGATGGATAGTTAAAGGAAATGGTGGGGAATTTCAAAGTAAACATGGGAAATCTTCAGGTAATGTGACTTAATATAGTTCAATACTTCAATATATGAATACAGGCAACTTTATTTCTCCCTCCTGCTTCACCATGTACTTGGAATCTAACATTTTTTGACAGGATGTTGGATTTTACTCCGAATAACAATTTTCACACTTTTTTCTTGAAGAATCCACAATCATTACATTGCTTCCTGGAAGCAGATTACAGGAGGTAGAGCGAATGATTCCCATTTTCTCAGACACTATGGAACTATTGAAAGACTCATTTTCAGAGTTGACAACGGTAGTTCATGTGGCACCTAATCGGCACGTGGAAGAATATGTCAGCAAAGCTGTTTTTGAGTGGCCTGTATCTGTAGTATTGATTCCTGGAGGATCTCCACAGCTGAAGTATGATGCATATAGTGTAAGGCCGCATTCTCATTTTTTCATGGCTAATGTACCACTATTGGGGGCACTTTGTGACAAATTTGGCTGAACACTCTAAGTGCGTTTACCCCTGTTTATGTTTGGAGNCTATTGGGGGCACTTTGTGACAAATTTGGCTGAACACTCTCAGTGCGTTTACCCCTGTTTATGTTTGGAGCACATTTCCATAGAAAACAAAGTAATAAATAAGAAAGGAAATATGTTGTGATGATTTATAGTTAGCCGGTTGTTGTTAAGGCAACCCTCTATAACAAACTGGATGTTGGCCGCAATCTGATGAGATCATACATATATTAATCTTTTGAAGTTGAAATGATCAACATTACTTCATTAGGTCAGTGACAAAGAACCATTGCACTTGGATGTATTTAATATATACACTGATTTATGGTCTGAAGGACCATTTGTTTTGAATATTTTTATTTACAATGGAGGATATTGATACCTCTCTTGGGACCTTTTATTTTGATTAATCCTAGTTGTCAATTGTTTGCTCTGCAAAACTGAGGCAGATAACAGAGCATAGACCTGGATGCACTTAGAACTTGTCTGACGAAAGCCTGATGGCATCTGCTACCTTGCACCACAAACATTCTCCATGGTCATGGAATTTTGTGTGATTCTTGCTGAGATTCATGACCTGACCAAATTTTGTTCCAATGGTATGCAGGCTAGCAATGTAGCATTGTGTACATCTGGCACAGCAGCTATTGAGTTGCAGCTTGCACAGTAACCTTGTGTTGTTGCCTATCGGGCCAATTTCCTGACTGAATGGTTTATAAGGCGCAAAGCTAGAATATCATATATCTCCCTCCCCAATATTCTTCTGGATTCAGCTATAATCCCTGAATCGCCTTTTCAAGCTTGTACCCCATCGAAGTTGGCCCCATTGCTTGTGTAAGAGCCCGTGCTTGTAATTTAAAATTAGACAAGATATTGTTCTCTGATAGTTCAGTTTATTATTTGCATGACAATACCTACAATAAAAATAAATAGCTATGCGTTTGCAATTAATAATCAACTCAATTCTTTTTGAAGTAAAAAGAAACTGGCTTTAGGGAGGCTTTGGTATATGTGTCAATATAGGGATATCTGCAACACCCCCCCTCCTTTCTTTCTTTTTCGAGGGTTTATGAACCTCGTTATTATTTGATCTCCATGGAAGCTGTAAATAGAAATGGTAAACAGATTGGTGTTCAATAGTTTGATTAAATGATGTTCCAAGTTTCAATAGGTCTGCTATATGTGATTTTCAAAAGTGAGCTCTTGCACTGTATATCTAAAAGCTAATGACATTGCAGGGACCTAATACACAACAAAAGCCTCCAAGAAGAACAGATAACTGCTGCTGAAAAGGTTATTGGATTACTATGTCCGAAAAGAATTTGTCACCACTCAATACGGCAGCCTTTTACTTCAATTTACCCTGATTACACACCGAGCATGATTGCAGCTTCCATTGTCTTACACTCTGTAACGACATAATGATGACTTACCTATTATCATTATTTCGTCTCAAGACAACTTATTCGGGTTCCAATTTTGTAACAAAGGGTATTGCAAAATTGCTGTGGGAGTTAAATTCTTCTTTCTCGTTATTTTTTTTCCTATTCTCTCCCTGTTCATCATGTCCAAATATTTGTATAGAAAACTTCCCTTACTGAAGTTTGGTGCAGGACTTTCTTTCATTGATTAATCATAATTTTCACTGTTTAGATTGTTCAGATGAGCTTCTGTGAACTACTTTCAAGACGACAGACGAAACCATGAAGAAAATCTTTGGGTCTGATGGGTTTAGGTAAAAAGGCTGACCCAGTCCATGAGCTTTCCTCCACTGTCGGGTGCAGGGAGGGTGAGATCTATGCATCCTTACCCCATATCTGGTGGGTTCAAGTATGGTGTTGATATCTAATCTGCAAATTAGGTGGTCCTTGAGTTGATTGTATGCATCGAGCATGAGCGACATGAAGGCGAAGATGCTTAAGAAATTGTACGTGCTTTCAACCCCAGTGCATTGAGACCAGCCCAAGTCAAATGTACTCACCCCCAAAGCTCTCAACAATAAATGTGTTATAATTTTTCTTGATGCTGAAAGTAGGTTGGAGCTTGTGGAGGCACAATGAATAGTTACTGCTTGCATACCATGTTCACGATGGACAGTTACTGCCAACTTCGTAAAAATGTTCCTCCTATTCTTCAATTGAATCTAATGATCAATTGAATTTTTTTTTTCTACTAATTAAAAATGTTATAAAGGGTGACTAAATATGGAATTTCTTAGAGTAAGTAACCATAGCAGTTTTTACCTGTGAGGGAAGCCCTCCAGAGAGGTCTGGAGCGATAGAACCTGTAAGCGCTCCCTAAAGACGACTTGAGCCATAGTCGGACTTCAGCCCCACCAATTCCCTAGAAGCAACTCAACGGTCTATTTCCCATGAAATGAATTTGGGAAATAACCCTTATAGGTTTCAAGCAACAACATTAATATAAAAATAAATGCACAAAGTTCATAGAAGTGCTTGATGTTACAAAATTTGATTATTTTCCATTTAAAGTTATTAAATACTTTTATTCAATTAAGATGGTTAATATGCTTCCATCAAATGGTAGAACATGCTTGTGTTATGCCCAGAACCTTGAAGGCCTCACAGGTAAACTTATTGATCATCTATTCCAAGATAAATCTCAACCTTCCCTCTATTTCATCGCCTTTAGTCGACCTAGTATTTCAGGCATTTTCAATCTTTGAATCTTTTTCTTAGCTCGATTGACAACCAATATGCCATTAATTTTTCCTCGTGTTTCTTAGTCTTAATAATATGTTCAGAAAGAGAAGTACGTACATTGAACTTTTCTACAAGAAGAACAAGAAAAATTTTAGAATAAATTCTTTCTCTTACCATGCAAAACATATTTTAAAGCTCCCTTTAGCCTGATTCTTGTTTCTTGTTGAAGGAATATACTAGATATATATCAACAATAAATGCTTATTTGTTTAACGATGCCTGTCTTACGAGGGTCGATCCTTCTATGCCTCGGCATTATAATGGTGTGCTCACCATTGATTGAAGTAGCAGATGTTGAGTTTATCAACTATGGTGCTCTTCGAGAAGGCACAGGACATGGTTTTCCCTACGACAACGAGCAACCTGAAGCTTGCTTGCCATGTCCATCAAATCGTAATAATAGAGGTTGCAAGGCTACTGAATGTTGTCGAGGCAACCCCAAGGACGAATATGAAGAGGAAGAAGGTCAGTTTGGGAGGATTCCAAATGAACCACCTCCAGAATATGTCCCATTGATATAAAATGGTGACTGAGGGTGAAATAAACTAGTTCAGGTTTAGTTCTCCTGTGAAAAATAAATTCCTTCATGTTTATAAGATGTTGTGATCAGCAACATTAAACATATATTTGAAACACATAGTATAATAAATAGAATTTTTTTGACAAATTTTTATTGTAATTAATGTGCCTGTTTGAAGTAGGTTTTTTTTGCTGAAAAGCTGCGGCTTGAAAGGTTTTGTAAAAAAAATCAGAATTAAAAAAATTATCCAAAACCGTTTGGAGTATTCTATAAAAAGTTGAAAAAGTCTGTTTGAAGTGACTTTTTAGCTTGTTTTTGATAAAATAAAAAAAATAATTGCATGTATGTATAAATTATTTTTAATAGCTCTCGAAATATGATTTCAAATTTCTTCCTAAGGAAAAGAAGGCCAATAGAATTAAATGGGTATACAAGACAAAGTAGAAGCCAAACAGAGATGTGAATCGCTTCAAAGCAAGGTTAGTAGTCAAGGGTTACAAATAAAAGTCAAGTATTGATTATCTTGCGGTTTTTGCTCCTGTTGCTAGGCTTGGAATTGTTCGTATGGTTATTTCTTTAGCTGCCAATAATTTTTAGAAGATATTTCAAGTAGACGTTAAATCAATTTTTTGAACAGTGTCATTGAGGAGGAAGTTTATGTTGAACAACCTGCTAGTTATGTAAATAAAAGGGAGGTAAACAAAGTCCACATGTTGAAAAGGGCTTTGTATGGGTGTAAACAAGCTCTTAGAGCTTGGTACACCTAGATTGATTCTTATTTTGTGGAGAATAATTTTTAAAGATGTCCCTATGAACACTCTTTATATGTCAAAATTAATTCCAAGGGACATACTATTATTGTGCGTTGATGTATGAATGATTATGATCTTATTTTCACAGGAAATAACCAGAAGTTAATTTAGAACTTCAAGTTATTGCTCTTTCTACCACTGAAGTAGAGTACAATGCAGCCAACAGTTGTGCTACTCAGGCATTGTGGTTACGTCATATGTTTGGATTTTTGTAGCATGAACAAAAAATTCTTTCAAAGATTTTCTATAGTAATAAGTCAACTATCACATTTCCAAAAAATCCAATTTTTCATGAGAAGACCAAATATATTAATGTCAACGGTGATTATATTCGTGACTTGGTTATTGATGCCGAGATTGAGATTTTATATTATCAATCTAAGGATCATATTACAAATATTTTTACCAAGCCACTCAAATTAGATATGTTCGTGAAGTTGAAGCAAATTATGAGAATAATCAAGATTGAAGAATTTGAATCAAAGGAGGCTGTTGGAGTTTGACCTAATTATTTATTTATTGCAATTATTTTGCTATTATAATTTATTATTATTAGTTGTTAATTAATCCTTGGCTAAATAGGAAATTGATTAATTAGAATGAGTTGTCTTGTTGGAAAAGACTACTTGGGTTTCTTAAATCTGGCAATAGGGTTAATATATATAAACTAGAATAGGTTTGCTTTGTAAGGTAAAGACTTGATTGAATAGAATTTGCTTTTTGGCTTTGCTGTAAGTATTTGGTCGTCTTCTTCCTTCGTCTTCACTTATTCTCTTTATTTTCTGTTTGGTCTTTGATTAATTATTGTGCATTAAATTATTTTGAGTGCTTAATATTTTGAGATCCTACATTAACTGTC